ACCTCCCCCCCCCCCCCCCCAGTCCACTGAATACTCATTAGAAGATTTTTGCCATTGACTACAGTGGCCCCATAGGATATATTGGAGCTGAATATTTTCGGGAATACCAAATATTTTCGGGTACCAGTACAATACTGGTATTGGTATTTGGGTGTATTCAGGAATACTGAAAAAATTCGGCTTTATTATATCCAAATAGAAAAAAAAAATTTCCCCTGCACACCCCTAATACACACTTGCTCAGCTAGTCATTTGTCCCTCAGTAAGAAAGATGGTGGAAGAAATAAAATCATTCCAGTGCTCCAGGGATAGCTTTACTGAATGCTTGTGGAATTAGTTATTATCTAATATGGGAGCACTGGAGGATACATATGACCAGATACAAATATACAATGAGCAGCACTAACCAGTACTGATGGAAGAAGCAAATGGAAAGCATTGTTTTGTCTTGTGTTTTATGCTGGGAACAGGATCATGATCATGTCAGATGGCCCCAACCTGTCAATATGCTGGACTTCCACAGTACGTATGTTGGGGTGTGCACACCTGTTGCTGGCCTTGCAAGCATGCCCCCTCAGTTTAAACTGGAGGCTGGATACCCCAAGGTTTCATCACATGAGCATACATGATGCTCTCTGCAGAAAGCTATTGTCACATCACATTGATATCTAAACAGCTTACTGCTCAAAATCCCCACTTTCTGAAAGTACAGTACTGGCTTTGTGACCTGAAGATTCACAAATTGTGATTTAGCCAACCAAGTGGTACGACTGTAGACTTTTCATATCTTAATGACAGCAGCAGAAATCTTCCATACTAGATTTCTTGATTGTAGTTATATATTTCATGGGATAAGGTGCTTTACCCTTCAGTCCATACCTGAGATTTCCCATGGCATTACTGAGATTGTAGAGTGGGTATACGATTTCTAGTATTGTTGCAGTTTAAATGTCATTATATAGAAATTCTGAACATGCACTAAACACTATGAGTAGTTCTCTGCAGTCAGCAACTGGTGGTAGTGGAAAATGCCATCAGGTCTGACCTGATTTATGGCGACCTCATAGTGTTTTGAAGGCAAGAGGTGGTTAGAGGTGGTTTACCATTGCCTGCCTTTGCATAGGAACCCCGAGTTTTCTTGGTGGTCTCCCATCCATATACTATCCAGGGCCGACCCTGTGTAGCTTCTGAGATCTAATGAGATAGGGCTAGCCTGGGCCATCCAGATCAGGGCACAGTCAACAACTAAGAGGGATTAATGATGAGAATGGCTTTCACACACACACACACACACACACACACACACACACAAGCATAAAGAATCGATACTTCTATGTACTGTGGCCCCCTTACCAACTGGAAAGCATGAGTACAGAGCAGAGGGACTGACACCATGAGTTGTCCACTGTGGAGAGAACATAAGAGCCCTGCTGGATCAGACCATTGGTCCATCTAGTCAAGCATCCTTGTCTTACACAGTGGCCAACCAGTTATTGTGGTGGGCCAACAACAGGGAACAGAGGAGACATATCATTTAGGGATTTAAACTGATTAATAATTGAAAACATAAGAACATAAGAGACGCCAATGTTGGATCAGGCCAAAGGCCCATCCAGTCCAACACTCTGTATCACACAGTGGCCAGAAATACCAGTGCCATC